TCCGTTATGTTGCAATCAGGTCAGTACACGATCGATCCTCAAGAAGTCGAGCCTACTGGTCTCGTATTTGAGCGTCTACGAAGTCCTTCATTCTGTTTAACAATACCGTGTTGAAGACTTTGCCTGGTATTGAAAGAAGAGTGATCCCTCTGTAGTTCTCACACTTGCCAGTAAGATTAGTAAAGGATATTCGTAGGTTACTGGTTTTCGGTCATTCGTGTCGTTGAAGCATTGTTCGTATAGCTTGAAGCAATCGAGTAAGCAATGCTGTTGTAAGGAAATGGGTACCACCAACTGCCTCAACCGGTGGTGTTTCGTGGTTTAGGAGTAGGTTTGAAGAAGGATAACGTTGGCCAGACCAAAACCTGGAAGAAATCCATGAAGTCATCAACAAGTGGACTGAGCAATGTTGGCTGGTGTAAACTACCTGGTTGTGGTGGTCCTTGAGACAATAGTGACCGATAGTTCGAGACCTTGAATGACATGATTGAGAATCATTTGTAATGGTGCAGGTGTATCCAGTCTTTTTCTTCTGAGGTTTGAACTGATAATTCGACCTCTCTGTCTGTTCTAATGTGGTATGGTGGTAACTTGAACTGATCTGCGGACATACGAAGTTCTCCGGTTTAGCAGAATAACTGAAAAGACTTCGACAGACCTTGCATCATGGAATACCATAGAATAATGAAGTGATTTTTTTATTTTTAGTGCAATGCAAATCGATGACACTGTTAGGCGGTCAATTCATGGATGTTTATGTCATAAGGAAAATACACTATCACTGTATTACGAGATTTATTTGGTTCACGAAATATAAATTTACTGCTTAACATAAAATACATAACAAATGGTTTAAGAGTGAGGCGAAACTTAAAGAATGAACAAAACTGAAGATCCTGGATTTGATTCCGGCGTGTCGGGGTTGTGTATGCGCACTGTCGCTAAGTCTCATGTTAGTTAGAAACGGCCGTCCGGGATGAGTTGGTTAAACAGTCCAAGTTGAATGAATGAATTAGACAGGCATCAGTTTTGTCCAATAATGGCAAAACGAAACTGTTCAGTTACCTCAACCTTTCTGAATAATTTTGATAGTTCGCAATATCAATTTTGGTGAACATAAATTATTGATTGAATTGACTTGATGAAAAATCATCATTTGCGTAAGATCGTCAATCGATCTTAATCAGACATTAGCACCGCTAGATACAGGTTCAGTGAGTGGTTCAGAGGTTAGGCGTTCCTCCCGCAAACCCGAAAGTCCTAGGTTCGTGTCCTGCGAGGTGCAGGAGTCGTGGATGCACACTGCCACTGACCAATCACATACCAGAACGGGAAGTCCATCTTTCAGCAGCTTCCAGGTTTCTAATAGTTGTAGTCTAACATAGATCGAGTTTCATGATTTCAACAAGTAAATCGACAATCTCCACAATCCTTTTCATGCAAAAAATTCGAATTATTTTGTACAGTGTTGAACAAAACAAATCAAACTTAATGAACTATTGAATTGAAGTGAAATTCTATGACGTAATCAGTTGTTTTCATTTGTTTATGTGATAAGATAAGCTTTATACGTTGGTGTGTAGTTTGGATAAATACATTAATGAAATGTATTTTACATGTTGAATAATGAACGAAATAATAAACATGTTAAATTACGCACGCGCGCGCGCGCAAACACACACAGTAGAAACAAAATAATTTCTTCTTTTGTACTTTTTAGGTGAACTTTCCTCTTGGTAAATAACACATTCCTAGTTATAATATATATTACTAATTTCTTAATCCGATTTGGAATGGTTTGGAATTGCGATCCACAATACATTTCGGAATGGAATTCGATCATATACATGTAATCTAAGTGATTGACTATCTGAACTCAGTAATTAGGGGGAATATAACAATGATGGTGTTTGAGTTCGAGCCATTAAGTGAACATTAGTAGGTGGCTGATGAGTCCCAAAAAGAACGAAACTCTCGTCCTAGATTCCGTTGCTTGTGACATCCTATTTACTCTATAACAACGGACTTTTGTATAATTTCTCAGTCGTGTACATCATAAAGAACAGTCACTTATTATATCAAGGTACATGACCATCAAAAAGGCACAAAAGTTAGTCAGTCAGTCAGTCAGTTACAACGTACAACTTCATGCATACATACATACATGAGTTCAATTTGCCATACTACATTAACACAGAAATGCAATAATTACTTTAAATCTAACGCTAGTAGAAGTATTAACGGTAATGGAGAAGATTAGGGTTCCAAGATACTACTATTCAAGAAGTATATTCCAATGAAATCAACTTTAAAAGGAAGGCAATGAGGAATTCAGAAGATTTTGAATTTCATAGAACACAAAGACTGGATGCACTCGCATCACTGAAAACGATTGTTAGCCATGTAGCCAAAAGTATCTAGCCATCGATTACTATTTTTCGTGGACCCCAACCAGGTAGTCTACACTTCCCGACATGATTGATTCCACTACTCAGAACATTATTGGTCATAGGTTGTTGATGTGTAACTAAAATTTTCTTGAAGCCTTTGAATACATGATGAGATTAATAATGAACTGTGTGCTGGTTCCTGATGAATAGAGCACATTATCCATCATCATTTCGGTTGGATGCTGGATTTGACGAAATATTTTTTTTCAGGGTTAACGTAAATCCTGGGAAACATTTTTATAGACTATTTCATCTCGTAGTGTAGTGAAGGAGAACACAGCTGGGGGAAACCGAATTTTATTTAACGAAAATTACAGAGTTACTCAGTAAAATAGGAAAACCATATCGTAAATCGCTCATTTGCAAATCTTCAATCCATCATATCGAACTGGACTGTTCCTGATGCAAAACATCAATCCATTGTCACTCACTATTCATGCGTTTCATACAAATTCCATTGTTTTCTAACTCTTCCTTTCTTGATCTTCCCTCCCCATCTTCTGCTGCCGGACATTACGTTGACACTGACGTCATATACTACTTATAAGTAGCTCTCACCACAGTAGTATATATAAATATAGAAATCAGTTAGTATCTAGGTTGTAGCATCTCCCTACCAACACTAATCTGAACAACTGAGTAATACTACAGATCATTTATTACCTATGAAGTATATATGAAACTGGACCAGGTAAATTGATGTTCAACAGATGCCTATCATTGTTCATGATATACATTGATCAATAATATTTTCTTAGGTTGGATTCTCACGATCGCTGGTCGAACATTGTTCGATTTATATGATTTTTTTTAAAAAGTAACTCAACAATCTTCACAACCCTATCAAGAGCTCACTAATGACTAGCTCCGTGAGGAATTTTCTCCAAGTTCAAGTCATGCCAAGATTTTTCTTACATTCAATTTTTTTCTTTTCTCGCTAAATTTCAGGATAAATATGTTTTAATGTCGCTATTCATCTTGTGTATAATTAGTATTTGGCATGCTGTGGTTACATTAATCGGTTTAGACTTTGATTTACCTGATTCTTCTGGGCTTGCACCATCTTTACCAAGTACTCCTCCTACTACTCTTACTACTACGACATCAGCAACTACCACTGCTACTGTTACTTCACCAATCATTTCATCCAATCCGAATGTAAATAATAAAACAAATCATGGTCACAGATTATTATTTTTTCCTAAACAATCAATTCTCAATCAATCAGATGATAATTCCCACAGGAACATATCAACTAATGGTAAGAGGAAACGAAATATGAATATATATTTATGTATATATATATATATATATATTTACATATATATTTTTTACACATTTTTGAAACCATGAATCGATCAATGTTAGACCACCATTAGAAGAAACCTGGAAGCACTGAAAGACGGCCGTTTCGTCCTAGTATGGGACTCTTCAGCAGTGCGCATGCACGACTCCTGCACCCCGCAGGATTCAAACCCAGGACGTTCGGTATTGTGCGCGAACGCCCCAACCGTCAGACCACTGAGCCGGTATCTAATGGTGTTAATGTCTAACTTGATCAAATTCACGCAGTTGCGCAACCTCATACACAGTCTTCGGTAGACACTGCCTACATCCAAACAGGTTGAACTTCACAGTGGTCACGTCTTCCCACTAGAACTCGGAGAAGATTCCTTACGAAGCTAGTCACTAGTGAGCACAAGTAATTTGCATTATGGGGTTGTGAAGATTGTTAAGTTACACAATTTTTGAAACCATATATTTTTTGTTATTGTAATTTTTATGTTCAACGATCAATATTCTATACAAAAAAAGTGTACGTTTTATGTTGTTAAATTAATGAATTTTATTGAATTTAAAAAATGTCGAGTGTTATCGATCACCGAAATTATTTTTAAGTTAGAAGACAGTCAGTGAAAGACTAAACCATAATGAATAAGTGTTTTTTTTTTTATAATGCAGTAAACATAAATAATTTTTACAAAAATAACCTTGTGAGATTATTGGTGGAACGATGAAGGTTTAGAGTAATCAGTAGTGATTCAGGGTTCAATGGTGTACAAATATATATCGTAGATTGATTCGCTAAGACTATGATTCGCTACTTCATTGTGTCGTCATTTAATTGTTCGGTAATCTTACTTACTTACTTACTTACTGATCTATGCTATCCCCAATGGAGTATTGGCCGATGGTCAGTATTCACTAACCTACTATGTCGTCCGTCTCTCTCCAGTTTTTGTTCATTTTTTTCTCATGTCTGTCTCCAGTTTTCGCTGTATTGTATTCCTTGATCTTCCTCTTTTCCTTTGATCTTGAGGGTTCTAAGTAAGGGCATGTCTTGTGACTCATTCAGGTGCTTTTCACAGTGTCTGTGTCCTATCCACCACTTCTTGAGCTTCTTCCTGATTTCATCCTCCTTTACTGAAGAATCCGGTTTGTTCTCTCCCATAGTAGATTGTTGCTGATTGTGTCTGGCCAACGGATCCAAAGTATTTTGCGTAGACAACTGTTCATAAATACTTGTATCTTGTGGATGATGGCTTTCGTAGTTCTTTAAGTTTCCACTCCACACAACAGATCTGTCTTGACATTTTTATTGGAAATCCTGATCTTGGTGTTGATTGATATTTGTTTGGCGTTGCAGATAGACCCTTCGTAGGCTACTGCCGGTTTCAAGCCCAGATAAAGAAGGAAGGCTGGGTATGGGGTCGGCTAAGAAAAAACGCTCACCAGAACAACTAATTCAATTGTATTGCGTAATAATAGAAAATTGAATAAAAATCGCATTTCAAGAAATTGTCATTTGAAAAGTACCAATTTTATGTAACCTTTGGTAATGATGTTCTACAGTTGAAAAATATCTGGAACTCCAAACAACATTCAACCAAAACCAAAATCAGCATTTTCAATACAAATGTCAAGACGGTTCTACTGTATAGAGCGGAAACTTGGAGAACTACGAAAGCCATCATCCAGAAGATACAAGTGTTTATGAACAGTTGTCTACGCAAAATACTTCGTATTCGTTGGCCAGACACCATCAGTAACAACGTAATGTGGGAGAGAACAAACCAGATTTCAGTGGAGGAGGAAATCAGGAAGAAGCGGTGGAAATGGATGGGACACACACTACGAAAATCACCTAACTGCGTCACGAGACAAGCCCTCACATGGAACCCTCAAGGCAAAATGAAAAGAGGAAGGCCAAAGAATACATTACGCCGAGAAATAGAGAAAGATATGAGAGGAATGAAGAAACATTGAACAGAACTGGAGAGGGAAGCTCAGGACAGAGTTGGTTGGAGAAAACTAGTGGGCGGCCTATGCTCCATTGGGGGTAACAGGCGTAACTAAGTAAGTAAGTAAGTAAGTTGGTAATGATGACACTCAAGAATCGATTTAAACGTTTACATTCCATCAAAACAGTTAAACTTACAATCAAACTGGTGGTCATCTTTTGTAAAAAAAGAAATAGAAAAAAACAAATTGTCCTCTAATTAAAATTAATAATCAATATGTGTACTTTGCTTCGCTTTTTTCTTTTCATGTTACCTACCACCAACTGTGTAAATATGTTCATATCAAAAATTGGACATTGAAATAACAAAAGAGAGCGCAACAAATGTATGTTCGATTCTATTGAACAGATTTGTAAAAAGAAAGATTAAAGATTAAAGAATTCAAGCTTACTTATTTCAAGATAACTCTGATGTGATATTAAGGTCATTCATTCACTGGGGGTTGATATCTTAAAATAATTTATCAATCAATAATCAAACTTTAATTTTCCCGGAATTTCTAATGTTATAGAGTTATCAAATGATTGAAACTTGATTTATTTGTTTAAATAAAAGCAACAAATTGTAGGTAATTTTGTTTTCTGACCTTAATGAAATTTTTTTATTTTAAATTTAGGATTGTAGAGATTGTAAAGATTGACAGTGAAATCATGCAACGATCAATGATCGACCACCAACATTATCGTCTTCTCCATGGTGGTTTTTCAATTCTTTACATGATTTTCATTTGATCCTGTTTTATTTAAGAAAAAATAGACAATTAATCAAACTTATATTGTTATATATCTTGGTTAACCAACAAGCCCGATGCACATGCACATCGTTGCATTTTAGGCAACACAAGGACTTTCACTTTAGCCGTTTAGTGATCAACCTTGCCCCGATCGGGAACATACATGTTGTCCAGTTTGGCCAAAAAGCACACACACGAACAGTGGCGCCCGTTCGGACACTTATGAATCGACTAGATCCCTCCACCAGTCCATTACCCGAAATCTCCGATCGGCATGAGTGGCAAGGTGGGTTTACCCAGCTGGACCTGGCACCCTGAACTGATTAACGAGCCACTCAGCAGTGCACTAACCAGCAGCCTTTCCAACTGCCTTACGCTGTTACAATCGACCGGAGCCCTCAGACCTCACATGAAGCTAAAGATCGAGTTTGTCCCACAAGGTCAGCCGTCCATGAGGACGATGTCATGGACTCAACCAAGTGCAAGCACTCGGCCATGCTGGGTTAATCTCTTAGAAGTGGGCAGACATCATTGACGTCCAATGCCCTTTAGCACTGGATCACATAACCTAACTGGAGACCCTTGTTTAAGGGGCCTTGACGCCAGTTTACGCAATACACCGAGATGCAGAGTGTTCGGGATAACCACATAGGGTTGGCGTCAATAGTCCAGGTTATCTACGGCTGCTTCCACAAACAGAACGTCCAGGGCCACCTTCAGTCATCCTAGAAAGCTACATCCCTTTCAAGGTATTTGCTACTACGGAATGATAGAGGAAAATCCTCACACTATTATCGGAATTTACCTACGCTCGATGGACGGGATTCAAACTTAGAGGCGTTCAGTCCTAATTCCCCAGAGTGGCTAACCGCATCCACAGACTTGCTGCCATGAACACGTACCATTATTCTGGACCATGCTAGGCACGGTATCCTAAGCGTTCGGAACGGCTTTTAGGCGCAGCGCTTTAAACAACGCCACGTTGCCTGGCAGGACCACGAAGAGGTAGCCTCCACCACAAACCCAGAGGGCTCCATTTATGCGCGTCACCTAATATACCCATTCAATTAGATGACGAGGCATTTGGCTACCTTAAGAGGCTGAGTGACTTACTTACTTACTTACGCCGGTCACCCTTATTGAAGCACAGGCAACCCACCAGCATTCTTCAACCTACTCTGCGCTCTGCCTACTTTTCTAGTTTTTGTACAATTCTTCTTCATTCTTCTCATGTCTGTCTCCACCTATTTCTCAGCATAATGTGTTCTTTGGTCTTTCACCTCCTTTTTGGCATTGAGGATTCTAAGTGAGAGATTGTCTTGTGACGCAGTTGGGTACTTTCCACAATGTATGTTTTATCCACTATCAGAGCTTCTTCCTGATTTCTTCCTTCCTTGGAATCTGGTTTGTTCTGTCCCACAATAGGTTGTTATTGATGGTGTCTAGCCAATGGATCCGAAGTATTTTGCTTAGACAACCGCAGAAAACTAACTCGCTAAAAAAATGCTCACCAGAAAAAAACATGGAACCACTGGACGGCCGTTTCTTCCTGGTATACGAGTCAACACTAAGAAGATGTGACAAATGAAGCTCAATCTTGTCGAATGTAGGCAATAACTATCGAATGGATGAGACTGCGCAAAATCCTTAAATTGAACAGAATTAAACATCAACACTGTTGGATGCCGGTCCAGTGTCCAGAGGTTAGGCGCTCGAGCTCAAGACAGTCGGTCTTGGGTACAAATCCTTCAAATACAGGAGTCCTGGGTGCGCACTGCTGATGTGTCATTTACCGGAATGAAACGGTTTTCCAGTGCT